TCGGCTCTCGCTTTTAATGCATTCGTTAGTGGTTTGTGATCTGTAAAGACTATAAATTCCCTGCCTTCTAACATGTGTCGGAAGTGCTTAATGGTCAAGTAGATTGCCAGAAGCTCCCGCCCGAAGGTAGAATACCTTGTCTCTGCTGGAGCGAGTCTTTTCGAGAAGAAAGCAATTGGTTTCCAGGCGTTTTTAACCAGTTGATTGAGGGTACCACCTACTGCTTTATCTGAAGCATCCACCATTAAAGCAAGTGGAGAAAGAGAATTCGGATACATCAACGTAGATGCCTGAGCCAGTTTATCTTTTAGCTGTTTAATCGCTTCGACGGCGTCAGAAGACAGCTTGTATTCTTTTGGTTTTCCTTTAAGTGAATCTGTCAAGGGTTGCATTAGTTGTGCACAACCGGGTATGAATCTGCGATAAAAGTTAATTAGACCTAAAAAACTTCTCAGTTGTGTTAGAGAACTAGGTATAGGGTAATGTTTGATGGTGTCCACTTCTGCTTTGATAGGTGTAATCCCTTCTGGGCTTATTGTGTGCCCAAGAAATTCTAGAGTTTGAACACCGAAAACACACTTACTTTGATGTATGTTCATTCCATTTTCATCCAGTCTTTTCAACACTGCTCGTACATGCTGTTCGTGTGATTGTAAATCGGGGCTGGCAATTAACAAATCGTCTATATACCCCTGTGCAAATGGCATGTCTCGAAGTAGGTTATCCATGAATCTTTGAAATGTTTGTGCCGCATTTCTCAGGCCGAATGGCATGCGTACAAACTCGAATAAACCAAAAGGTGTAGTAATGGCTGTCTTGGGGATATCTTCATCAGCCACCGGAATATTGTGATATGCCCTGACCAAGTCAATTTTAGTAAATATGTTCATACCATGTAAACCGTTTGTGAAATCTTGGATATGCGGTATCGGGTACCTATCTGGTACGGTTTGACGGTTGAGCGCTCTGTAATCCCCGCACGGTCGCCAATCCCCTTCGTTTTTCTTCGGGACCATATGCAAAGGGGATGCCCATTGGCTATCAGAGGGACGGATAATACCCAGTTGTAGCATATGGTCAAATTCAGCTCTAGCGATTTTGAGCTTATCTGGTGCTAGTCTCCTGGGTCTTGCAAACACAGGCGCACCTTCGGTTTTGATATTATGACTTACTTTTAGTTTGTCTTTGGCAGGCTGTGGGTTTGGTCTAGTTAAGTTTGGAAATTCCGCTAGTATATCTTGAAATTTCGCTGTTGTTACTGGCGGAGTTTGAATCAAGTAAAGGGATGTGATGTGACTTTCTTTTCCTTTTGTGTAATTCGAAGTTTCTTTCAGTGTTAAGCGTCGTTTCTTAGTGTCAACGAGAAACTCGTATCTCTCTAGAAAGTCCATCCCCAGTATTGCCAGATCCAAATCGGCTACTGTGAAAACCCAGGGGAATTGCCTTCTGAACCCCAAATCTAGTGTTAAGGTTTTCTGCCCAGACGTCGCAATTTTAGTTTTATTAGCAGCTTGGAGTGTGACTGGGGATGCTTTTCGCCCCAGCTCAGTTTTGTTTTGAGGTATGATACTGAGAGCAGCGCCCGTATCTACCAAAAAGCACAAGCCGGAGTTTCTGTCTCTAACATAAAACAAGCGACTATTTAGGCGCCCCTCCTCAGTGGTCGCGACCTGGGGAGGGGTTACTCGTTTCCCGCATTTCTGGGATTTTGTTTGGGCCAGGCGCAGGGTTGCATGCACTTTGTTGAGTTGACACCAAACTTCCAATGATACCAACAGAATTGCCCAGATCGTCTAGACATTTGTAATCTGTTTCGTGACTTGGATCTTGTTCGTTGTGGTGATCTACTCCTGTTTCTATGATCCATTTGCATTTTGGCAACAGCCTCAGTGAGACTTTTCACACTCGCTATGAGTCCCTCTATGACTGAGTCTTTGGCTGGTTCTTTTTGTGTGTGGTTTATCGTGTTTGATCCAGTTGCGGGACCCCTTTCCATTATCCTATCTGCTATACGCGCTAAATGAGATAAAGAGGTTTCAGGATCTTGCGCATCCAAACAATGTTGGACGTAGCATGGGAGAGCTTGTATCCATCCTTGCTTTAGGACTGCTTCACCCACTGTGTTATCACCCACTAAGACTTGAAGGTGACGTAAAAACTGTGACGGTGACCTATCGCCTAATGTTTCTCCTTGGAAAAGCCTTTGGATTCTTTGGCTGTCTGATAATGATAAACGGTTTATGATCTCTTGTCTTAAAATGGTGTAGGGTTGTGGTGATGGTGGGCTTAAAATCAAGTCACGGACTTCTTTGGTGACTGAAGGAGAAAGTATAGAACACAAGTCTCTATAGCGAATTCCTTCGGATTTGATATTATGTCTCGTGAAATAATGCTCTAGTTGAGCAAACCACAACTCAGGATCACTACGATCAAATTCTGGAAGTCGGGATTTCGTAGTCATAACAGTGTCTATCTCCACTGGTGACAAATCATCCAGGTTTTGAGTTTCTATTGAGTCTGACATGAAGTATATGAACAATATAGCAATAAACTTTACACGAAAAATGGTTACTACAGCACGAATATCTTAAGATAATAAAAAAACTATGGATAGATATATATACCAGACTATGTTTACGGATAATCAGAAGGTCTACTTTTACGACTACGTAAAACAAAAAAAAATTTATTAATCAAAAATGAAATCAAATATGTGTTTCACAGGGCTCACCAGTTTCGTGCCTTATGGTAACCCTCGCGTTATTAATAGAAGAAAGCAGACTCGTAAGGAAATAGGTCTTTATTTTGATCTTCGCGCAGTCACAGTGGAGCGTAGGGTTCTTTACTCAGACAAACAAAACCTCTCAACAAGCAATATAAGATAGATAGAAATATAACGCCTAAACAAAATAAAGAAGTGAATAAATATCTGAACTATGCTGTTTTGATATATGCTTAGTTGCTTGAGATTAACTCTTGACAACCGACCTAAGCTGTTACAGACTCACAGTTTGCAATTTGGTGTACCAGATCACGTCGGGCTCACCAATGAAGATTCCACAAGTATTCAGAGTTTGATAACGCTTTAACCAGTAACACCTAATATGAAGCGTACCCACCAAGTGAAATCAAAAGACAGAAGTGAGGAGATCGAAGATATATTTGATAAGCTATCAATATACCGAGGATTGTTTGAACTAATCTGGCTAACGATTGTGACAGATGTCGAGCACGGCGTTCCCACACGTGATCTGGTGCGGATGCTTGACCGAGCGCCTTCAGCTAGATGAGTCCACTAAAACTGTGGTCAGCATCCAATGTCAAAAACTCACAGAGCTATTTATTTTGGAGATTTATTTACCGCTACATTACTATTTGGAATTTTCAATAACTTACCCGTATTCATAACCCTCCATATTTGATTTATAACATATCCACAACTTTGTTGAGTTCCTGATTGGGTGAATACTATACTACTACTATGTTTAGTAGCATTCCAGAATTTTCGGAAAACTCGAGGACATCTAAAATATCATAAAAACCCTATATTTTCTGTAAAAAAACTAGCCTTTGGAGTAAAGTGTTTATTAATTATTTCGCGTCTTTTCTCTCGTGTTCAAGTCGCTGTGCATTTCTAGCCTGGGGGTTACTAGAAGAGCTTAGGAACCAAATCCAGCATTCACTTAGTAATACTTATCACTCCGATTTGCATGAAAAATTATGGATGTTAGTATAGATGAGTACGAATATAAATCTTCCGGTCATAATAAGAAGCTCAGCCTCAATCCTCGCAACACCGCTTAGCGTGATGTTCTCACACTCGCTGAACTGAGGAAAACTACAGGAAATTTAGAAGCTGGCTCACATCGCACCAATTTTCAAAGGAGGTTGACGCAGCAAACCTTCAAGTTGCCGACCTGTGGCTCTTCTCTTTATACCTTTAAAAATCATGAAGTCCCTGACATGAGATGATTACATGACTATTTATTGTCCTTGTATTGCTTCTCACCCCAACAGCATGTTCTCAGGAAGGGTTACTCTTGTATAACCAACCTGCTGACCGTGGTGGACAAATGGACAAGCGTCCTTGATCGTAAGGGGAAGGTTGATATCATTTGCCTTAATTTCTCAAAAGCTTTTGATAGGGTCAACCATATATGTCTTATCAATAAGCTCAAACCATTGGGTATCAGACTATCGCGAATTGATTGGCTCATTTCGTATCTGAAAAATCGAGATTTTAAGGTCAGCGTTAACTTCACTTTATCTCAGGCTATGGAATGTCTTAGTGGGGTCACCTCAGGACTCAGTACTAGGACCTCTTCTCTTCTTGATTTATACAAATGATCTTCCACAACAGTTGTCGTCAGACTTATTACTTTTTGCTGATGACGTGAAACTTTGGAGATAGATACACAACCGAGAGGATATACAGGCACTTCAGGGGGATCTGACTGGACTTCGAAGTTGGGCAGGCGACAACGGACTTACCTTTAACACTTCAAAGTGTAAAGTAGTCCATCTGTGACATATTGCAGACTACAGTTACAAGTTAGGAAACTCCTTTCTAGTGGTATCCCGAGTCGAAGAAGATTTAGGAGTCCTGGTGCCCTACTATTTGAAGTCGTACGCTAAATGTGATAAAAATGTCATTCGAGCAAGCCTTGCTCTCGTAACATTGAGGCGCATTTTTGGCCGGTTTGACGGAAGAACTTTCCACATAATCCACAACAGTTTTATTCTTCCCCATTTAGAGTACGGAAAAATAGTATTTCCTCCCTCACTCCAAAAGGATAAGGACACTGGGACGTATCCAACGGCGAGCCACGAAATCAGTTCGGAGACTTAAATTCAAACCTTATGAAGAGCGCCTGCAATCACTTAACCTTTACCCATTAGAGTATAGGCGTCTTAGAGGTGACCTTCTGATGGCTTACAGTATCATCAACACTTTTGGACATCCCCTTAGACACCTACTTAAGCTTAGTCCCAATATAAACCTAAGGGGTAACACCCAGAAATTAGAGATACAACATAGCAGAACGGACTGTAGACACAACTTCTACTCCTTAAGAGTTGTCGAATGCCGGAATTCGCTGTCAACTAAACTAGTCCAAGCGACTTCCCAGGAGTCCTTTAAGAGGAAACTTGAACTATTCTTAAGGACTAAGGATAAGATCTTATTATGTTACCAATTTCTCTTTTTTAAATATATTATAGTTAATATATCCAAGTTCCTGCCTAGAGGTATTGGTGATACCCTGCTACTAGACACGGAAGTCAGTTAAGCGAAAGCTATTTGAACCATTATGAACCATTTGACTCGGCACTGACCTTGAGGGTGTCCACCTGATAACTAGGAGGCAACGCTCCAGGGGTATCGCGACACTTTTTTGCGCTGCTTTTTCATTTGCCTAGCCGGAACCAAGTAAGGGTTATAAACCAGTGTGAGGAATTCGAATTAAAACTCGAGTTTTAGCATTATCTGATGGATGATTTTTTGACATTTGATGACGGCTTATTTGAGTTCAATGAGCACAAAGAAGGTTTGTTATCTGTCTTTCATCCAAATGAAGTGGGAAATCTAGTTGGTCATCGCAACATACTGAGAATTAATTCATTTTTTCACAGGAATTTTTATCAGGTAGTGGAGAGGAGTGTTTAAAGTCTTCAAGCGATTGGTTTTATTTATCGAAGAGGTACGACGATTGTTTGCAGTATTTGCTTCAACTATGGGGTTTGTCTAATTCGTTATATTTTATTTTTAATGTGTAGACCGTGTTCATAATTACAATGGGCTTCCTAAAAGAATTACTGCTGATGCTATTGTTAGATGCTGTTTGAAACTGAACAAACGATGTGAACTGCTTCCTTATCTCCAGCAACACGTACTTCTCTATAATAATCTATGTTATTATAAAGAGCCAATTATCAGCGAACTATGAGGATTATATCGGACACTTAATGCTTCATTTTACTTGTTCAATAAACGAAACAACGCAAGGTATCATGTTTGTTAAAATAGTTTTTATCTTGGTGTATGAACTCGATAGTTTCTAGTTTATGGAAGTTGTATCTTTTCAGTGGATAGTAGGTCGAAGTTGCTATACTTTAATCTTATTCAGTGCCTATGTTTCCAAACAAATTGGGGGTAAATTAGTTTTACAATCTCTGTTCCTTATTTTACGTCTATGTAGTCTTTCTTTGCTACTAGATATAAATTTTAGTAAAAATGGGATATCTGTCGGACAACAAATCCTCAGTTAGCCTGTCAAAGAAAACTTTCTGTAGGACATATAGGAACAGTGTGTCACCTAATACGATTGTAAGTCGATTCAAATAATCGCTCTTCGTATGTATAATTTCAGAAATAATCCTCACGTAAATCAGAAATTGATGTTAATGGTTGTAGAAAGCTAAGAAAAAAATGTGCCTGTTGATTCGTAAACATCCTCCGTACTTTTTGAGTTGCTTAATCGGCCACCAATCCACCCAGGTTGATAAAATTCAAAGTTAGTGAAGCATTCAGCTCACTCAAATAATTCACTCGGTGATGTCAAACTAGGTATTAACAGAGATTGATCTAAAAGCGAAATTCCTCAGTTAAAAGGACAGAAGCACGTCCCAAGTGTTCTCGCACTCTCTAAAGATATTCGGCAGACGAGTTTATTAGTTTTCACCCTAACAAAATTCTGTATGTTAAAAAACCTCTAGCTAGATCGATTTCACAAAGGTTGGGCATAAAATGTGTGATATTTATAAGTGTATCTGTGGTGTAGTTAAGTTAAGATTAAGACTGGAAATACTTGGAAAAATTTGTTTTACGTGAGATATCTCACAGCATAACTTGTCATAAGCTCTTATACGATCACCATTATTCAAGCAAGTAGCCTCCAGTTAACAATGAACCCACCAAGTTATAATCTTACACTTCAGCTTATTTAGTATTTATTTATTTGTTTGGACGCAAATACTATTACAAGTAGGGACTAAAATAAACATGGACTACACGAATAAAAAGCGAAATTGTGAAGAGATGAAGGAAAGAGGGTAAGTATAATTCAAAAGCAACTAAATGAATGGGGGCAGCGCAATCGGTAGATATGGAGGACCCACCTAAGAGAGTTGGAAACCGCTGACTCCAAATTGGTGGTGCACATGGACTTCAATACCCTAAGGGGTTGATTAGCGTATGAACATATCTTTGACCACTGACTACCATAGGATTGCATTTCCTGATGTTGCTTCGCTGCTTTGCGGATTAGACCTCCAGATCACCAGTTCAGAAAGTAGCATTATTCCAACGCTCTCACAAATATAACAATAAATAACTATTAGGAGATTGATCCACTTGCTCTGCTTCTTTAGTGCGATAAAATTATCTTTACATATTTCCCCTTTAAAGTTGTATTTCGATGACTACTAAACGTTCACAGTTTATGTGTCGGCATGGAGTATGGATTCTGTTTACTTTGTGTTTGACTTTCCCTCTTTTTTGTACACAGGTCGAATTAATTTACTCCAACGTTTCCTATTGGCAATTCCTCCATCATTTGTTGATGATTCATCAATATTTATTCGTGAAAATCTATTTAAACACTCTCAGTTATGGATCGACTTATCAGTTGCTTGGGATCAAATTCAGATAGAGACTAGGACAATGTATTATCCTGCATGGTTTTCTAAGGTAGCGTTATTGTATGCAGAACTTGTTAATACTAATTCAGTAAGTGTTTATTGGTGATTTGTGAAAAAAGGTTTATTCAATTGGTTCCCCCTTCCCTTATTCAAACACAAACATAGGCACAAGGAGGTACCAAATAGATAAATCACTCAATTTGTGTGAGGGCTGGGCTACTTCCCGGGTGCCCAAATCGAAGCAGGTGGTTTTCTTATAGCTCCACTCCTCGAGCCTTTGATCTAGAGGTCTAATCCATAAGGCAGTGGGGCAGCGTAAAGATATGCAGTCCCATGGTAGCCTGTGATCAACAATAGGTTCATACACCATTTGTTTCCTCAGGATCTTGGAACTCATATGCACCATTGGTTTGGGATCAGGGTTTTCCAACTCCCCTAGGTGGATCTTCTGTATCCACCGACCCGCTTAAAGCGCCGGACATCGGCTTTTCGTCCTCTCAATTTCGTAAATAACACCCCCGCCGCGAGAAGTGGATAGGACTTCCCTAGCAATTGCTGTATACGCGCGGTCATATGAGAGCGTTTCGAGGGGAAGAGCTAATTCCTTCCACTCTTGGTCGTACCAGGGCACTTTGGCGGCTAGTTGTTTCATGTTACTGAAATCACAAAGTAAACCTCAGTACTTTTAGATTTCTTTCATTTCAACAAACAACTAGCCGCCAAAGTGCCCTGGTACGACCAAGAGTGGAAGGAATCAGCTCTTCCCCTCGAAACGCTCTCATATGACCGCGCGTATACAGCAGTTGCTAGGGAAGTCCTATCCACTTCTCGCGGCGGGGGTGTTATTTACGAAATTGAGAGGACGAAAAGCCGATGTCCGGCGCTTTAAGCGGGTCGGTGGATACAGAAGATCCACCTAGGGGAGTTGGAAAACCCTGATCCCAAACCAATGGTGCATATGAGTTCCAAGATCCTGAGGAAACAAATGGTGTATGAACCTATTGTTGATCACAGGCTACCATGGGACTGCATATCTTTACGCTGCCCCACTGCCTTATGGATTAGACCTCTAGATCAAAGGCTCGAGGAGTGGAGCTATAAGAAAACCACCTGCTTCGATTTGGACTCCCGGGCAGTATCCTAGCTCTTCTTGTACCAGTGTTTATGTGTATAAATAAATAAATAAAATATGTCTAAAGGTTAGCTTTAATAACATACATATTTGATTATCAGATAGTCACATTAGACAATTGCTAAGTATGACCATCTTAACAAGACTGGCTCGCATCATTTAGGGCATATCTCATGAAATACAAGAGGTTGATAACTTATCTACAGGTGGATTTAGAGGATTTCTCTGCCCCTACTCAATTATTTTTGATCAGTTATCTCCAGTAGGTGTTTACAATAAATTAAAATCACCCACACATCCTGCTGAAATTTAGACGATATGAGAAGACTTTCATAAGAGTTTCTCAGATTAAAGTATGTAGAATTTATGGTTTCGCAAACAGTTCTCTAGGATATTGTGGTAATGCATTATATTTGTGTTCTGTTACAAGCTCATTTGTATTTAAACATAATTAGTGTTTAATACATAGAAATAAATTACGATAGTTCCTACTTATGATATCAAGGGATTTTTAAACAGAAAAACTGTGACATATGGAAATACAAAACCGATTGGTTATGTATTTGTGTTAAATAACATGGCCACTGTCATTTCCTTTTATTATATTGTTGCATAAAAATCTTGTATACATAATAAACCTTTAGGATAGATAGAATATGGCTAGCAGAGAAATACAAGACCTGCTTTTTGTCCATGCTTTTGTCACATGGATGTACCTATCACATCGTAGTGTTGATATTCACATTATGTTTGAAACCAGTGTCCTTCGCTTCTTATGTCCAACGCATCATCCACTGAGCTATTGAGACTATAACTAGCTACTAACTTGTACGATATTGGTATCATTATTAGTATTAGTTTGAGTTATCTTGTTGTTGATATTCAGAAGTGACATTTTATCAGTCGGTATTAATATATACGCATTCCGCGTAGATCGCCTTGATGTAAACACTATATCAGTTTATTTAAAGTAGATGGATTTTGGTTAGTTGTGAAATCCATCTCTAGTGTTATTTTCTAAATTAATCTGTTCGTCTCACTCATGCTGTAGTGTATTGTTCTCTATCTCAATACATTTTTATGAACACATACATTACAAAACTGCAAATTAAGTTACTGCTGTCTTCAAAAAATCCGATTCCTGTTCTTTAAGAGTCATAATCAGAACCGTTAACATTGCATTTAAGAGTTCTGTGCATCATACACTAGTCTGATAATTAATTTAATTTTAAATTAACGCCTAAAATGATTTGGTATATGTGTATTGTGTACACTGTTCTTGTTCGAAACGTTCAATCTATTTTTGTCCTCAGCAAACACCAATTATTTTTTTCATTAGCCGTATCAAGTATCCATTATAATTCATTAACATAATGGTTACGTAAATATTTCTTTCTTTTCATTAGAAGTTAAATGAAACTTCACTTACATGGACTGATAAATTTCTGAATCCATTACAAATCGAAATATGTCGTGTAAGTTAAAGATTTCTTGATGTGAAATAAACAGTTATCATGACAGAATCCATACAGGTTTCATACAGGGTCGTTTAGTGTAACATGCATTAGAAATGTTTCTGAAACATGGATAATTGTCTATCCAGATTAAAGTAGGTTGGGTAGGATTTGAATGACTAAGATATTCCCGGTGTGAATTATTTATCATTTCTCGATGCCATTATGGAAGATATATGTTGAATACAAATATAAATTACGATAAAATAGAAATATGCAGTATATAAATAGCATAGTTTAGGTCAGATGACTAATGAGCATAAAACAATCATAGCAATAGAGTTATCTGTTTATTAAATTTTATCGTTATGAATGGTTTTCCGGCCAATTCTTAAATTCATCTGAGTACTTTTGTTCACACCGTGCAGATCGCCTCTTTATCATAAAAAACTTGTATTGAAGACTACGTAGGTCTTTTCTATCATGCTGGAACGAGAAGACTCGGTCACCTATATAGAGCGATCAGTTATTGTCTGATGAAAGTGTGGTGAATCACACTGTTCTAAATTTCCAGTCCGTCATCAACGTAGAGCTTGTCACAAATGTACCGTGTTCCAACTTGTCGTACCACATTAATACGACGAGATGAACTAAACTACTTAATTATTTGTATATTATTACATTGAACAGTGTATTATTTTCATAACATGAAGTATTTGTTTTATTTCTTGTCCTAGAAACTATCATTACGTATTTTAACTACGTGTAGCAGTAGTGGTAGTTCTTCAACAGGCCCATCTACTACTACTACTACAATGCTAAGTAAAGATAACGGTGTATCTAGTCACGAAAATGATGTACAATTCAATGGCGTTACCGTTACTTATGAACTGCCGTATATTCCTAGTCAGAAATGCTGTTCTACTAATACTGCTATAGACACTAACATTCAAGATGAAGTCGGACACGTGTTTTTCCAAGTGTTTATTGCTCCATTCATGAGTATTTATGAAAAATCAATTTAGAAAACACCAGTAATTTTTTGCAGTGGTTTTACATATACTTGTAATTATAAAGAAAGCTCTTTTTTTCTAAAAAATCTATTTTGTTAGCAAATTAGTCACTTCGATTTAGATTTTGTTGATAATCATTGTGAACGTATGTTTGCTCGAAAATTTTTCTTTATATTTCAAAGGTTACTGGGTACTCTTCAAGAACAATCATGTTTCACTTTATGTGTATTATGTTGTTTCGGGCTTTCTTAGGTTTGTATGGGAGTGAGTTGGAAGAAAGCTAGGGGTGGCAAGATGGACATATGTCATCAGTCCCTGAAGTCATCGACTGTTAATCTGAACCATGTTTAGTGGATGTTAACTAACCGCGATTGGTGATTAGAGGTGTCAGGTGACACAGCTTGGAGTGGGTTTCAGTGAAGCACGTGCAGTCATTCTTTATCTTATTCTAGATCCTGAATTCCAATATTCTTTCATATATACCTTCCCATTTTGTCTTCCCAAACTATGTTCTGAATCCCCAGTCTTTCTGATTATTATTGTTACTACATTATCCCTCCCCTCTTCCTGTTCATCCTTTTACATTCAATTCACTGTGCTAGTATGGTAAGTTGGGGCAATGCATACGTTTTTGCCAGTTTCTACTTCGATTATGATAATGATAACTGTTGTCAGGTGACAATAAAAGAGAGACTATCATTGGTTACAAATCACTCTGTCTATATGATCGAATCACTAGTTTCGGTCATCTCTCATAACAACCAGTGGACCTGTAGTGAGATTAAAATTGCTTTATACCTTTATTTCTACGAACTAATTCTTTCTTCCTGTATTATATCGTTGTACACAATCTTTCTTACCATTGACGTAACTACTATGAATTTGGTGTTCATCTTGTGCTAATGAAGTGTGGCAACTTGGAACGATGCATATGTGTGCCTGGTCCTACGTTGTAGCTAACTGACATACTTCCTACTTTTAATAAAAATGGAAAATTAGTTGGCGTGGTAGTGAATCTTCATAAACCAAGGTAGTTGGGGTACGTCACGTTTTCAAAACTACCGCCCACCTTGACAAACAATGCTTTCTAGTACAGAAGTGGGTTGAAAGGAATATAGAGGTAGTCAAACCAAAATATGGCATCAGTTTATGAAGTCATTAGCATTTGGTTTGAGCCATCTTAATAACTGTAGTTTACTTATTTGGGGTTCACCTGCTTGTCGTAACCAGTGATTAGAGACTTTGGGTGACATGGTCCAGAATTGTCCACAAGTGCGTTAATTCTTTGTCTTCTCTTAGTTCCTGAGTCTCGAAACTTTGCTTTTTTCTCTCTACACGATGCTTTCTATTATTACTGATACTGTTGTTACTACCACTCTGGGACTTGTCTAGATACGTCTATCCCCCTGTATTAATGTGGTGTGGAAATGAGTCAAAGCATGTTTCGGGTTCAACTGTGCATATAACCGACTTTTAATTTCAATTTCGTTGCGTGATGGACCTGGGAGCCTGGTAGTCAGGACGCGCTAGGGAGTTGGGAGCATCAGTTGATTCTGGTAACTGCCAGAGGCTCTCAACTCATTCGAGTCTGGTATAAGTGAAACAATCCGTGAAGCTAATGGGATGTCAATCAATATCATCTACAGATGCTTAGTTCAGTGGCCAGAGTTTTCCAGGGGACAGTACGGCTTGTCCACAAGCAACTCCAACTCTTGAAACACCACAAATCACCAGGCCCAGATGGTTTGCTTCCAGTCCTTTTTAAAGGTGGTGGGGACCTAGTGAAAGAACTGATCTGTTCGTCTCCAGACTTTTAGCATTGTAGAATGGGTCGGTATTTGCTCCTATCTTTAAGAAGCGTTCATGTTGTTTCTGCAACAACTATTAGGGAATAAGTCTACTTCCGATCGGGTCCAAACTATTGGCTTCCGTCATATTCCATAGATTGCTCAAAACCCGAGGAAGATTAACTCGCGGGGAGGAGGCTAGTTTCCGCTCTGATAGGATGCAGTGCTCATATCTTCGCCCTCCTCCATCGTCATACTTATTACAGGTCAATAACCATGATGTTTGGCATTAGGACCGCTTCCGATTCATTAGATAGGAATGTTCTATGGGATTGTCCATCGAAGAAGAGTGTGGCTGAGAAGATTACTAGCGTGTTGAAAGATCTATATACGAAGACCTCAGTCCGAGTAAGGCCATGCAATCACCTCTCTCCATCATTTCTTTCAAGCAATGGGGTTAAGCAGGGTTACCCAATCTCACCATTCCTCGACTTTGCCATCGACGATGTTCTGGAAACAGGTCTGATGGATGCAAATTTGGATCACCTTTGATGCCTCCGTGATGTCAGTCTGACTGCGAAAGGTTGGATCTACAAAGCGTTTGTGAGAGCAGTTTTGCTCTGTGCTTGTGAAACCTGGCCTCTCCGAGTTGAGGGTGTTAGACGGCTCTCCGTGTTTGATGATCGTTGTCTCTGAAGGATTACTAACATCCAATGGCAACACCATGATAGTAACACAGAGATTCAGCAATGTGTGTTCGGGCACAGAGGCGATAATTCAATTGGTATCTCCATCTTGAAACACCGATTTTAGTGGCTTGAGCATGTACTGCGAATGTCGTCCCATCGAATTGCACTTCATGCATTATTTGTGGGTGCTGGAACTTGTCAGAGAAGGTGGAGAAGTGGTAGCTGTATGACATGGTGTCGTGGTGTGAAGGGAAGGTGTACATGATTAGATTCTGTTGGTTCTTTACGACTCACTGATTGGAGTCCTTGAGATGGTGCAACTCAGTGACTTGAAATGTTATCAGACATGGCTGAGAATAGAAGCGAATGGGAATCATGCTGTAACTTTCTTTTATTTCTTTCATAAGAGTGAGATTAACTTCTTTAACTGAAAGGATTCTCTCTGATTTTATTTTTCGTAACTGAACTGCCTTTTCCATCATTACTATTATTGTTATTGTTATTATTATTTCTCACTCATATACTAATTCCTGTTAATTTTTGTTCTTTTTTATGATACTCACTTCCATTTCTCTATTTCTTCACAACCTCAATTTCATTTTGTGGCGTGTATATATTTGGTGTTCCCCATGTATCAATCTTTGTGTTCAAATTAATAATAAATATGAAGTAATACTGAATGTTGTGCGAAATCACTCGATAAGGATTGTGTAGATCCCCTAGGTCTTCATTTGGAAGTTTTTATTTCCAGCTGGTGATCCCATCAAAGCTTGTTGCAACGATAATCTAAGTGGGGTTCACATTTTTTGTCAATTCTCCACAAGGCTTCTCATTTGTTTTTTTTTGTGGCTTTCAACGACCGGGAAGTCCAGGTGTATGGTATGTTTTTTCTAAAGTTGTTGTTTTTTCTGCTCATTTAATTCGTCCTCCATGAAGTTGTCCAACTGTTAAACCGATTTGTGATATCTCGTTGATCATTTGTAACATAAAAGTCTGATCTCTTAATGGAGTTAGTCCTGTCTTTGTCGATTATGATATTATTCATTCTGAGTATGTCAATACATCTCCGAGCAAACTGGCTGATAAGTCCGACTTTGATATTCACTATATTGAAAAGTTAGTTTTTGAAATTGGTATATCAGTTTCATGTGTCGTACTCTAAGGGAGATTCCGAGAAATTATGAAAAGGACATATGATTCGGGCTTCTAACTTTGTTGCCTCTTCGATACTAAATGAATAGTAATGACGTTTGAGCATGTTGGCTTGTGGATAACCATAAGGTTAGGACCTCTTGTGATTAGATTAAGTTTTTGCATATACTTGCTACTTTAGAAGCCCGTTTTATAACCGAACGAATATTGGAAAAGTTGGAACTTTCGAATTATTTTTATTGTATAGTTAGCAGATAACTGTATTCCTATATTCACTTTATTGTAAGGTCACAGTGATCCTACCAACTGTTATTATGCGTCTCACTCCTTAATTAATTGGATGCTGTTTTTCTCCTCCCTGCCACTTATGGCATTGTTGCTCTTAAATTACGATTTTTTATTTGGTGTGCTGTGCGGTCAGGCATTTCTAGCATGTAATTGTATGCATTTTGAGTCAATTTAATTGAGTACAATAGTGAAATAATCTGATTTCTATCTTCGTCTGCTTATTGTCTACTGGGTTAAAAGGTGTTTGATGACCAATGAACCTCAAGATCTTGGTTGTGGTTCATCGATTAATGTGTCAATCGCTAATTAGGTCATCAGTCCTACTGGCAATATAGCTGAACTAATCAATAATCGGGATTATTGTCGGGTAATATAACACGTGATATCGATTAGTGTTTCAAGACACTACACCTTTTATAGCATATAAAAGTTATCTGGATTTCATTGACACATTTGTTGTGAAAAATAAGATTAGATGGTGTGCATATTTCTGCATGAAAACCCTGCGTAGTTTGAAAAATATCCGTTTGTTAGTCACATCTTAAACTGATAGCGTTTCGAAAATGCAATCGATGGAAAAAGAAACGTCTGTAATTTTTGGAAATGTCCTGTAATATTTATGATCGACCAAGTGAAAAATGAGGTAGAGACTTCACGATGACGGTGGTACAACACGAACTGACTGAAGCTAAAATTGTTTATCACTTAGTGGCTGGTTGGCATAGTGCCCGCTTCAGGAATTTTGTGTCCCGGCTTTTGGTAAGTTGTACGTACCTTCACCAGTGAGGGGTCTCAAGTTGGAAAGTAGCAAACGTTTAATATTCCCAAGTTTTCAGTGTTTCGCCAACTGGTGTTAGCCTATGGCGAAAGTCACATTCAAATATCAAAAGATAAGTATATTGACATAAAAGCCCTCCTAAATTACTGTCTAATGAAAATATAAAAGGAGCCAGACAATGACAATACGAAGCTGTGTTGACACGTTCAGTTCACAGTGGTCATATGGCACATAAAATCAAATCATTTCGAGTGCTCTACCGTACACCATTTTCATTTCCGATGGAGTTGGATCCCATCATTTACATATACCCGAAGCTGTAGAGATCCCAACCTATGATCTTAGTTTATATGTTCGAAAGATATTCGTGATACTACCGTACGTTCCTAGGTCAGATATGACTCAATAAACAATTTTATTAATTTTTTCCAAACCTCATATTTGTTTATCATTTTTCACCTCCCTTCGTTTATAGTTTTACCTATCTATTTATTTACAAAATTCTTGTTACGTAACTTTAATCATGTTTTGTGATTGCTACTTCAAAATTTATTTATCTTAGTTTGTCCCATTTCGTATGTTGAACTGTTGACTAGAACTGGTACATTTATCTTCTTGCCTATTATATGTAGTTAATTATTCAGTCTATTTGATTGTAATAACTGATTCGATCATTGCCTTGGTTGATTTAATATTTTTATATGGATATTGATGCATAATAGAGAAAAGCATGCTGACAATCTAACTGGAAGCAATATTGTTCACTTATATATGATGTTCTATTTAGAAAAGAAATCTTTTTATTACTTCAAGTAAGCTCGTTCGTAACGAAATGCCATATACATGTAATTATCATGACATTTTTATACCACACCCATTAATTTGACTCTAGAACTCTGAAACATATCCCTACTGTCTAGTACTAAAGAACACCTAGAGTATCTCTATAAATACAGAATATTACACACTATACTATGGTTGATTATAACTTACAAACCTTTTCAGTCACCTTTGTAATTCATGAAAGAACTGTGCTAGATAACTATCGTGGGAATGGCGTGTAGTTTAACTGTGAATTTTCTATGTAATTACATTTTAGTTTCTAAATTGATTAACAAAGGATAATACATAACATTTAATCTAC